CCCCAAAACCCCAAAACCCCAAAACCCCAAAACCCCATATGCGATCTAAATTATTGACATAGTAACGTGTTTGTTATTTTATTTCATCAGACTGTCTTGCACTCTACTATCAGTTGGATCAGAAGAAGCATTGATTTTACCATAGGAGGCATTATGTTGCTGGCTATCATTAATAAGTCTTTTTACGCTATCCTGTCAAGAAGAGCTATCACTCTGACTATATTTCCTTAGCTTGTCATCTTCTGAGAAATCATCATCGTCGTCATCTTCATCACTTTGCCATTTCTTCTTGATAAAGAATATGATTACGGATAGGATAATGAGACTTAAGTACACAAGTCCAACAACAAGAATGCTAAATCCATCGAAGAAAGCAGGGAAGGCATTTATGTCGTTTGGCTTACAGGCTTGCTCTCAATAATTGCAAGTGCAATTGGCAACGTCATAATCCTCTAATTTATCTCCGACTTCCATATCGCATGCGTACATATCCTTTATCATTGATTCCTCAGGATTACTACTGAATTGGAAAGATATTTTGACCTTTCCGGTTTGAACAGCATTGCTTCCCATAAACTCTAAGAACCCTGGTGCTGACTGTCCACTTGCGAGAGTTGCCACAAATGGGTTTTTCTTACAAGATTCGAAAATTCCACATGCAACTTCATTGTCAATTCTCATAGTCTGGTTCAGAACTGGGTAGTCTACATCTGAAACTCTGATTTGATCGTGCGATTCCAGGAAGTAAAATTGATAGGGGTTGCAGGTATACTCACACCAGAACCTCTTCAGGTTAATAGAGCAGATTAGTCAGTTTCCGAAGAGAGAGTCAATAGTCTTAAAGTTATTATACATATTAAGTATTTGATCGTCATTGCAGCAAAGCTCTTGGTCAACCATGTAAGGACATGCTTCAGCTAAATATTTCATTGAAGTTGTTGGCATCTTTGGAAAGCCAACTTGAGCAATCGGGGTTTCAGTATTTGTAGGGTCAGGACAAGGAGTTCCTTTTTGTGAGGCATCTCTGATACAAGATTGAGTAAATGAGCATTTTGGAATCCTATCATCTCATTTGACAACTGAAAGAAGGCTCATTAGTATGTATAAGAGTGCTCCTGGAGATAAGAGAAGCTTCACTAAAGATTTTCCACTTTTGACTCTAGTATTACCCATAATGACACTATATTATATAATATTCGCTGCTGATGACATAAAGGGGTTTTGGGGTTTTGGGGTTTTGGGGTTTTGGGG